AATTATACAAATTGTGTAAGAGTGAAAGATAGCGTTAGTATTTTAGCATCCACCTCCAAATAGAGCTATCCATCATAGGCACAGCAAGTGCCTTTGGCTGCCCTTCAGATTCAACAGTTGGTCACCTTTGATAGGCCACAGCTTTTCTCTCCTGTAAAATGAAGAGAGAGGATGAAATTGCCATCAGCATTCCATTGAGTCCTCCATTCTGAGCAGTGAGGAAATTCTGACTCTTTTCATCCCCAGTGACAAGTTCTTACAGGACTCACAGGCACCCTTTTCTTCTGGGCTGCTGGACTCCTCCATGCATCGATCTTTAAGGTGGGGGGGGGGGTGCTCCTTGAAGTACATGAGCCCTTTTGTCTACAGCAGCTTTTGTTGAGAGAACAGAACATGCATTGATCTCACCTGGTCTCAGCCCCTAGGCAGCCAGTTCAGAGACCTTACCATGCCACTGAGTTTCATTGAGAAAAGTGCTTTCTAAACAGTGAAGTCTGAGATGCCCATTTCTATCTCACATGAGAACGGGGGTTGGTTCCTTTATAGGAGAATATATCCTTCATTAGAGAGGCCTTTTAAAAAGACAGTCAGCCCTCAGCCATCATGTCACCCTCAGCTGGTGCCAGGATTGCTGCCTGCTCACCTGGGCTCTTCTCCAGGGAGCCTGAGCCACATCAACACTATCGGTCGTATTTATTTCTGCTTCTTTCAGTCACAGTAAAAAAAGAGAAACAGGAAAAGGAAGCAAACTTCTTTCATCTGCTCTCTTCTTTCTTCCCTTTTTAACTGTATAAATTTAAGGAGTACAGCATGAAGACTTGATAAATGTATCCATGAAATTTATTGGTGAAATAATTGCTATAGGTAAGCCATTTCACATAACTCTCAAATCCCATGTTCGCCTCCTATTATGACCATTTTTTTGGAGGGGGTTCACCAAGGACTGAACTTGGGGGCACTAAACTGCTGAGCCACATCCTCAGCCCTTTGGTTGTATTTTATTTTGAGACAGGATCTCACTGAGTTGCTTAGTGATCCACTGGGCATGCACCACCACGCCCAGCTATTTTTACCTTTTTTTAAGTAATAGCACCTGAAATCTGTTCTCTCTGTAAATTTTTAATCTACAACACAATAAGATAATCCTCTTGCTGTACATGGTATCCCTAGACTCATCCCACATAACTGCAGGTTTGTGCCTTAAACCTAGCCCTCATGTCCCTCATAACCATCATGCTATTGTCTGTTTCTATGGGTTTGACTTTCTTTTGAGATTTTACAGATAAATGAGATAAATCATGCACTATTTGTCTTTCTGTGTCTGGCACTATTTGTCTTTCTGAGGCCCTAAGTAACTTAGCAAGACCCTGTCTCAAAATAAAAAGGGGTGGAGATATGGTTCAATGGTTAGGTGCCTCTGGAGTCAATCCCTGGATCAAAAGAATAATAATAATAATAATAATAATAATAATAATAAGAAGAAGAAGAAGAAGAAGAAGAAGAAGAAGAAGAAGAAGTCGTCGTCCAGAAATAACTGGAGGAAAGGAAAATTTTGTACACTGTTGGTGAGAATGTAAACTAGTGCAATCATTATGGAAAGCAGTATGGAGAGTCCTAAAAAAAAAATTTTTTTCCAACCAAAATTCAACAAAGTTTACACCATCCTAACATATTTCCCCCAATAAATTTTCACAGTTCGCATGGAATTTCCCTATTGATCTTTCTTTAAGCTAACAATGAAATGAAAATCTGTTGTCCGAGAGAGATAGTACATTAAAGTATAATTCCCCCAAAACTTGGTTCTCATCCCTGAGTTCTTCTTCATGCCCAGCTGTTCCCCTTTCAATTTTATCAAAATAAGATCCACAAGTTTTCTTTCTACATAGCACCCAAACCATTCATCCCCTACCCCTACCACCTCCCTCCAGGCTAGAGAACAAAATCTAGAACCAAACTCCTTGAATCTGAATTTTATCCCTGCCCCTCTCCAGCTGCATCCTCTTGTGCAGGTTAATTTTGTGAGGCATCTGCAGATGTCACACTGATCCTCTCCTGCCCCATGCCCTCCTCAGAGTTTCTGTGTTACCCTATGGGCTTCCCTGGGCAGATGGCCTCAGCTGTAGACAAGCCTTCAGTGGAAAGTAAGACCTTTAGGCACAGCCATTTGGCACTGCGACAGTCTCAACTCTTGCTGCTGATGGGCAAGTACAGTGCCCTCCCTCATGGTTAAGAGCTAGGGCGTCATCGGTGATTGCTACAGACCCAATGTTTATGTCCTCCAAAATTTATATGTTGAAGCCTTCACCTCCCATTTTGCTCTATTTGGAGATAGAACCTGTGAGGGAAGTGACAAAGTGAATGAAATCATAGGGTGGAGCTCCAATCCAATAGATCTGGTTCCCTTATGAGAAGAGGAAGGGACACCAGAGCCAGCTCTGGGCACACACACCTCCCTCCCCAGGAAAGGCCATGCAAGGACATAACTAGAAGGTGAGTATCTACAAGCCAGGAAGAGAGCTGACCTCAGAAACTGAATCAACCAGGACTTTAATCTTCGACTTCCACCTCCAGAATTGTGAGAAATAAATTGCTATTGTTTTATGCCACCCATGGGGTTTGGTTATGATAGACTGAGCAGACTGATACAGTGGCCATTTATTTAAGCAAGGTTTTTAATGTCTCTGAGCAAAGTCTCATTTCCTGAACTGTGGAATATTTTTATCTGCATTTATTTTATAAGTTCTGCATTTTCCCTCTGCCTCCACTACTGTCCTTCTCAGATGCATTTATTTAGAAAAAAAAATTGGCACAGATTTAGTACAGGGAAGCGTTAGATTTCCAATAAAATTTGTCAGTAGGAAGCCCAGCCTACAGTCATCTCTCTTGTATTGATTTATTTTTGCAGATAATTTCCAATTATTGGCGGGGAGAGGGGTGGGGGGAAAGCTAAAAGTGAATGAAAAAAGAAAAATTTTGAATCATCCTCAACATTCTCCAAGGGTTGTTCTCCGGACAATCATCTGCCATCACACTCTGCCACCTGCCACCTGCCACCTCTGCTTCCTGAACATCTTCTACCATAGCCATGGCTGCAATTCTGACCATCCTTCCCCTCCTTCTCTCTCTCCCTCCCCCTCCTCTTCCTCTGTCCTCTTGTTACTGCTCTCTGCAGCACCCTCACAGGTCTCTATGCCTCGGGTCTTTCCTCCTAATCCACTTCCACTGCAGCCATTGCAGTCCTCAGATGTTCCACTGTTGGTCTCATTTCTATGCTTTAAACCCTGCCCTGACTCCCTAGGGCTCTTCCAAGAAACCCAAAGCCTCTTAGGGTCTCCCCACTCTCAGACTTACCTTCTCTGATCCAGCAGCACTGAGTTTCTTTCAGTCCCTCAGAAGCCTCTGCGCACTTTCTCTAGGTCCTCTGCTTAGGGCATTGTGCTGCCTCTCACCCTGGAGCTTATTTACTTCTCCTTATCCCTCATCTCAGCTCTGAGGTGACTGTTCTGGAAGTCTCCCCTGATCCCCATTCTGGGATAAGCCTCAGCTCACCTGCTGTTGCAAGCCATTCTGTCATCACCTGCATTTCCTGATTCCCCAGTTTTCTCACCCCAGTAAGCTCCGAGGGCAGGGACTCTGTCCACCTTCTGTCTCTAGAATGCAATTGGTGACAGTGTGTGGCACTGAATGGGCTTTAAATTAGATATTAAACAACTGTGCCAGGCTGGGGTTGTGGCTCAGTGGTAGAGTACTTGCCTAGCATGTGTGAGACTCTGGGTTCAATTCTCAGCACCATATAAGAATAAATGAATAAAATAAAGGTTCATCAACGTCTAAAAAAATGTTTAAAAAAAAAAGCAACTGTGCCATTTACCGCAGTTCAAAGAAATGCTTGCAGACTAATTTGATTATACCATCAGTCCCTTTTAAATTATTCTGCTTGAGCCTACATTTACTTTTAACTTTTACTTTCATTCGCTCCAGTCCATACATAACCAGGCATGTGATAATTATCTCAAATAAGCTCAAATTTACTACCCACTATTGGTGAGCAATGAAGGGCCTCTCTGAGTCCCTGGGCACAGTCCTGGGTCTGAAAAGGGTTTTCCTTGCCAAGTGGCCCTCCTGAGAACTACACATGCCCAGGGGGAAGCGGTGGCTTTGTGGACTTGCTGAGAGATGGGAGATACCCTTTCCTGCTAGCCTGGATTCCAGCATCAAAGGGAACTGGAATGGTGGGAAAGAAGAAAAGGGAAGAGGCAGAGAACAAAGGGAACCACCTGTTAGATCTCACCTCACCTCCTGAAGAGGAGGTAATAATTATGGGCTGTTGATACTCATTTTATGAAATCCATTTAATCTTTTCTTCCTTTGGTTCTTCGGTGTGTGCATGGAGCACTTAGGCATTTTCCATTGAGTTCCTGTGAATAAAAACACCGGTCCCTGAGGTAGACAGGAGAGGAAGAATGGGTTTGCCCCGTATGTGAATTTGCACTGGAAGGATCTTGTCTGTGCTTTCCGTCATCCTCTGCAGTTTCACTTTACAGCAGCCCTGGGAGTATCACATGTTTGCCCACTGCACCCTAGTTAGGACACTGGCGTGGAAATACAAGATTATCTTTTGCCCTTGCTGTCTAACGTGCCCTCAGGTCTGTCATTGGGCCCTGCTGTGCTCCCAAAAGAAAGCCCAAGGAGACATGGCAGGGCTTTCCAGGCCTCAGGCATGTCTCTAGAAAGTAGAAAGGTTCTATGTTTACCTGCCAAGGACATTGTACTGGTGTCCAGTTAGCAGCTTTGTTCACTTGTGCACAACTTTTGTCTTTCCTAGAAAATAATATTGAGTAAATCATACAATTCACAAATTTTGGAAGCCTTGTTGGAGGTGAATCCAACAAATGTTTCAGAAACACACATTCATAAAACCATGAGTAAAATATGAAGGAATATCACAACAGTATTCTCTGTTGCTGTTAAAATAATTTTTTTTAATGTATCTGTTTTAGATCTGGAGTTCAGACTCTGCCCCATAATGCCAAGGTTCATTACAACTACGCCAACTTCCTAAAGGACCAAGGTCGGAACAGGGAAGCCATCTACCACTACAGAACAGCCCTCAAGTAAGCGCCTTGCAGGGAGGGCACTGGCTATTGTGCTGTGAAGATCCTGGTTTATTTCACTCATGCCCTCCCAGACATGAGTGGTCATGGGTTTCTATTGAGGGTGATCGTATCTTTGGAGGGAGGGTATTTCTTGGAGTAGGAGTCTTTCGGCTCACCATTCAGTGCTGGTGTAAGTGTGGTAACTCTGCCTTGTTTCTCACTCAATGTTTTTTTGTTTGTTTGTTTGTTTTTTAAGTTTTTATTGCTGCCCCTTATTCAGTGAAGTAACACTCCATTGAATACATTTGTGCAAACAGGAGTTGGTTATTAAAAATGTATGGTCACTTTATAGGATATGTATGCCAGTAAATTCTCAATTGCATGTATATAGGAAGATACTTGAGTATAGAAATGAAACACTCTGATGAATATATTAAATCAAAAACAGTGAGAAAATACTTGATCACCATGTTGGGAATATGTTAATTGTGTGTGTGTGTGTGTGTGTGTGTATGTGTATTCTCTAACACTGTTCTTGTGTTTTCCATTGGAAGAAAGAATACCTTTGATATGACTTTAAGGGAAAAGTAAAACTTTTTAAAGTTTTTTTTGTAACTAGCAGTAGTCTGTGGGTATTCAGTGGAACTGAAACTCTGACTTTATGGATGATTTTCTCTAAAAGTTCCCAGATAATAAATGTATTTAACTTTCAGCATGTGGAGACATGATGTTATAGTTTGGATCTGGAATGTCTCCCAAAAGCTTCTGTGCTAAAGGCTTAGTCCCCAGCCTGTGGTGCTCTGGAATACATGCCCTTAAAGGAAGCAGTGACACCCAGCCCCTTCCTCTTTCACTTCTTCATCAGCGATAAGTTAATAGTTTACTCCATTTTCTTTCCGATCATGATGCTTTGCCTCCCCACAGGCCCATAGCAATGGGGCCTATCAATGATGGACCAAAACCTCCAAAATTGTGTGCCAAAATAAACCTTTTGTCTTTATAAGGTGATTATTCAGGTATTTTGTCACTGACTAATACACATGATAATTAAGCATAGCCTTGGAATCTTCAATTGTTAGTTTAAAGAAGCAAGGCGAATCTAATCCTCTTATTGAATACTACTTATGCTCACAGAAACTTCTAGAAGAGAGAGATTGATTCACATTTGGTTAAATTTTCTGAGACTATTCCACTTTGGGACATGATTAAAATTCATATGCCAAACAAATCATACTGAAGTGCCTACCTGAATTGTCTCAGGTCTTAGTTTGAAATCATTATTATATTCTACACAAGCATTTGGTTATCAATCAAAAACTTTTGGGCTTTAGGACCTGCTTACTTAATATTCAATATAGCAAAAGTTTTAAATCATATATATCAAGATTGTGATCGAATACTTTTTCAAATATTACAACAAATGTGAGACCTAGAGCAAAAATCGTAACCAAGCTTTTTTATTGAAGAATACAACTTATTCATTATGGAATAGAAGGTAATCTATAAGATTTAATAAAGAATTGCATTTGTTCACTGGAAGACAGTTTTCAAAATGTTTGCAATTCTTATCTCTGTTGGTTAGATTATGGTTTGTATTTTTGCCTTTATATTTTCTTGTGTGTTCAGATGTTCCACAGTGAGCATGTATTGCATGGATTGTGACCTTCATAATTAATTAATGTGTAATGATTTTCGGTGGTATTCTTGAAGGGAGGAAAAGAACAACAAGTTGTCTAAAAAGTATCAGTCTCATAAATTTGTTTCATTATAACAGACTATTTCCAATCAAATTCAAATAGAAAAATAAGGTAGGCCCTGAGGCACGGTGTGGGCAAAGGTGTAAATTAAACAAAATTCTCTGGCAGTGGATTTTATAGAATTATAGTAGCTGGGTGGGTACTTCTGCTTCTTTCCTGTGAAACAATAAAAATAAATGTTTGTTCCAGCAATGTGCTTCTGGAAGAAATATGTCCCTTGAGAAATGGGGAAAAACAATTAAAGCTATAAATGTACTGTCTAGTAATTAGTAAATTATTTAATGTTCTCAGACCAGATCCAAAATACTTATGATTAAAAATATCATTGTTTTTATGTGATTACCACAGGGATAAATATTCAGCAGAGGTGGATAGTTTTTCTTTTCTTTTTAAATAAATTTCCACTCCTCATGTTAGAGAGTAAAGGAAAAGTACCAGGACTGTCCATCATTTTGATGATTATTTATCCTTAGAGATTGGAAGATTGCCCTTATTTTCGTAATGCTGTTTCTTTGTGGACGTTGCTGAGTCAGGAATTCTTCTCCCTCCCAACTGCTCCACCCCTACACTACATTTTTGTGTATCCAATGTTTTGTGTATTTCCACACAGTAAGAAAGAGAGTGATTAGGGAAGTTCTAGGTTAAAGGTGAAATGACCTGAAATCAGTTCCAGCAATTATCCATGACTGTTGAAATGACTATGCAGAGCCCAAAGGCAATGGTGAGATGAGCCATCAGGGTTGTATCTATAGAGATCTCTTTCTGGCTGACTTACAGCTCTAAACATAACACTATATTAAGTTGGTAATTATATACAACATAACTATTCTGGTTCTTTTAAACTGTATGTTTAAATAATGGAGTACTACTACTGACTTCTTTCTCAGTATATTTCATTTATTTTTTTTTCAGTTGTGCTAGAATAAATCTCCCCTGGAAAATGCTGCAGCCAAGATTATATATTCAGGTTAAGATCCAAATCATGAAAAAAGAGAATGAGGGGTCAGAACCCTTTCTTGAAATCCTCAAAAAACGTTAGTGTTAGCTTTGCTTTGCTATGAAGAGTAGCTCTCTGTGAAGACCTATTATAGTACTATAAAGCTTTGGATTCTCTGTATAGGAGAATTAGACCACTACTAATGTATTTGTCATCTGCCTCCAAAGCTTTCTGACCACTCAGTTACTGTGGGGGAAGTTCCTGCCATTTCACCCCATGTGATGGGAATAAAAAGTCTAGAGACTGCCCAACAATTCAGCTCTTTATGCACAAGATCTCCCAAGAAATGTCTCATCCAATAAACCCTAAAGGAGAAACATTAACCTGGCTTAAGTAAAATGCAGAAGTTATTGAATGTGTACTTAACCATGTATGTACATTATTGATTAGCTCAAAAATTCAGTTAAAAGTGGAGAATCTTGAAGCAAATTATGCACAATATTGAACATTTTATTTTACCCTGAAATTTCCAATGTATCTTCATTTACCCATCTTCTGTTGTCAAACCAAGTCCTTTTCTTGGAGTAAGAGACTACTGATTAAAATCTGCAAAAATCACGTCCATAGTTCATTGCTATAATTACCGGTTTTGTCAGTTTAAAGAGTAATAAAAAATTAAGGATACTTGCTGGGTATGGTAGCCTGTACCTGTAATTCCAGCTACTCAAGTGGCTGAGGCAGAGGTTCACAAGTTTAAGGCCAACCTGAGCAATTTAGCAAGACATCCCAAAATATAAAATAAAAACCACTGAGGAGGTAGATCAGTGTTAGAGCACTTGCCGAGCATAGGTAAGGCCCTGGGTTTAATCTCTAGTGCTGCAAGTTAAACATACTTAATTTGCAAAGTTAATTTGAGTAGACTATCTCAGAATTTTTAGAGTTTTGTTCTCCAGTCCTTTACAGTTCTCACATCGAAGATAACAGTATTTTGAAAAACTTTTTTTTAGTATATTTTTACTTATTTTATGTGGAAATACACCTCTTTTTTTCCCACATATTTTGTCTGCTTGCAAAATATTTCATTGCAGTGAACACTACAACTGACTTTTTAGCAGTCATTAACTCCATATATGGGAGCTGAAGGCCCAGACTCTCAGAGAAAGTTTGCTAAGTTGTAAGTATCCACTTATATATTTTAGGGAATAGAGAACATCTGGAAATCTGATGACACAATTAACACACTGTACTCAGAGTTTTTACTATAGGTGACAGAGTCATGTAATCTGTTTTTCATCAACCATTTCATTTCCCTGCATGATTCAATTACTGGTTGGTTAAAATAGGTTGGTTATCAAGAATCCAGGGGTGGAGAATAAAGTTTGCCTTTGTCCAACACATCAGAAAGTCTTGTCCACGGTCCGCAGGAAACTGTCACATGTTCCACAGAACATTTGCTCACTCAAATGCCCTCTTCCCTCTACCCCAGTTCAGTAAGCCCCTGCCACACCCAGGTTTGCTGAAATATTCCAGGTGGGTGAGCATCAGATGTGCAGTATTGTAGTCTCATAAAAGGGCTGTGATTCTCAGTCACCCAGGTAGCAGTGAAATTCTTTTCACAAGGATGTTTTCAATGTGAAATATACAATTAAGATTTCACTGGCACCACCATCCCAGAAATGCTGTTGGGGATACATTACCTATCCTAACGGTGGCTTGGGTGTGCTGGGGCAACCATGGGACCATTAGAGTGTGGCCTTGCCCATACCTAAGCAGTTATCATATCTATAACTGATGTTTTAAACAAAAAATCCAAAAGCCAAGAAAGAACTGTTTCCAAAGGTATTCAGAATTCTGACCAGAGTATCTTCCGTTGGCATAGCTAACATTTTTAAATTATTGTTCCCTTTCTAATTTTTATTTTTGATATTTCATTGGCACATTACAATTATATGTAATGGTGAGATTTGTTGTTACATATTCATTCATGTGGCGGCAGAACTAAATTTTCTTTTGTGCTCTTAATACTTCTGTACAAAAGAAATCTCCACTCACTATTTGATTGGCTGACACATGGGAAAGGATAAAACTAAAATCTTTCTGACTAGAATGTGTTTAAGTGTATAAAATAGAGACTTCTCATGCTAATAGTGCTTATTGATCTAATTCTTTTGTATTCCTTCCTGGATGGATAACTGGAATTCTACAAGGAGATTCCATTAGACTTAAGATAAGTGTGTGTGGCAATTGGAAATAATAAAGGAATGAGTATTGAAAAATGCCATTATCATTAGGCTCTAAAGAGATCTACCATGTCTAATTAACCA